CAGTGGACCCTGGGGCCCCCCTGCCTTGTTTCTGCAGCAGCAGGACCCCCTCCAGGGTCTGTGGGCGCCAGGGTGTGGCAGTCCCCCGACGCAAATCTAACTTTCTATTCTTGTCAGTCAGAACACCAAAGCCCAGGGAGGAGTCCCAAGGCGCAAACTGTCCCGCCAGCCTTCGCGTGTACAGGCAGGTGCACACCATCATCGTCAATGCAGGTACATGTATGCTTGTGTACAGTGTGGACTGGCGTTCACGAGTTCTTGTGTGAAGTTCAGTTTCTCTGGCTGCTAGAGGATGTGCCAGCGTTGAAACTGCGTGTGTGGCTTGTGAGCCTAAACATGCGCAGGCCCATCCCGGTCAGGTGTGGCTGGTGGGCGGCGTCGCATCTCCCAGCAGTGAGTGCGTGGAGGCATAAGTGCTTATTAACCTTCCACTTTAAACTCACAGCACGGCCCCCGGGATCTGTGACATGAAGTCGCAGGAACGTACAGGGCGGGGCAGAAGTCGGTTTCCAGTTGTGAATATGTGAAACAGATTTTGTTCTTGCAGTATTACTTATTAATGATTGTATTAATTTCCACATGAACACTGTAACCTGACTTTTGCCTGAATCCTGTGTAATCACAGAGGAGGGATGCCATCAGTTAGGGACATATAAGGGCTGGTGACTCACAGCTTCCGGTGGTTCTTAAAGTCTAGACTGCCCACCAGCATCACCCACAATTTATTAGACATGCTCATTCTCGGGCCCCACGCAGACCCACTGAGTCAGGGACTCGGGAGACCCAGTGGCTCCGATGCCCGCATCCCACCTGAGGCCTGCTGAGCCCGAAGGCCCGTCTCTCCGGCCGGGGACTCCCCAGGTGTGCACAGGTGTGCAGTGCTGGGCTGGCCAGGCGAATACCTCACTCCATCCTGCCCCTGTGCTCAGCTCCACGGTGCGTCCAGCCCTGCCTCCCGCCATCCCTGTGGCTCGCTCTCTGCCTCCCGTGATCTGCCTGCCTGGTCTTGTTCTTGTCGGCTTCCTTCCCTCCCTGACCCCTGGGCCACCATCCGGAGAAACCACACACAGGCAGAGCCTCTCTCAGGGTCTGCTTCTGAGGGCACCCCAAACTATACAGAGGAATAGAAACATTTCCGGGGTGCCCATGTGAATGACTCAGGCATGCCTTTATGCATTTTGGGAAGAAGATGGAGAGATGTAAAACCAAGGAGGGAAGAACCACTTGCCATTTCCATTGGGGTGAGCTTTACACACAAGCCCTAAAGGACCCTAGTGAGTCCTGTGCTCTGTCCCAGATTCAGCCAGTAACCTCCTCCTGCAAGTCTCCTGGCCCCAGTTCCCTCGCTGAAAGACGGGTCCCTCCAGCTGCACTATCCCGTGATGCCCCCTTGCTCCTGGTCCTCTGGGGACAGAGACAGTTTCAGGCCAGCCGCCTTCCCCCTCCTTTTTCTCAGGACCAATAGAAGCTTCACTGCGGAAGCAGAGTGTCATTCTGAAGCCCAAAGCCAAGATGTGTCTGTGTCCTGCGGTTACTTTGTTGCAACATCTGTCCACCATTCTCTTAGCCTGTCCAAGCAGGTGGGCAGCATTCACAGGAGGGCAGCCTGGCAGCCAGGGAGCAGCGACACATGCCCGTGTGTGGAGCACCTGAGGAGACCACTGAGCCATTTCGCCTCCCCCACAGGCCTCACTGCAGGGCCCGCGCAGCCCTTGGAGCAGGCCAGCAGCCTCGGCCGGGCCCCACAGCTGGACGAGGCGCCCTCCGCTGCGCGTGCTGCCCGGGGTCTGCGCCCTGAGGAGACATGCCTGGCCAGTGGTGACTGATTCTGGGCACTGTGGCCAGGGACATCCATTTCAAAGCACTGCTTGTACACAGGAGTCATCCAGGCGCCTGGCCCCACCTGGGGGGAGGCTCCATTTCCGGAGTGGGGGTGTCCTGAGGATTCCAGGACAGGCCCAAGCCAGAAAACGTGTCCCCAGTGTCCCTGAGCCTGCGGGCCTTTCTGGGAGCCACACAAAGTGCTGCTCCGTCTGCTCCCTCCCCCAGGCCTGCCCTGGCTCCCCGCGGAGCCTGTCACTGTCCTCACTGGGAGTCATCAGTGGGGACCTCCACCAGGAACCCTCAGGACACCATGTGTCCCACTGGGTCTTTGTCCATTGACTCCAACACCGACACAGCCTTACACAGAATCGTTGCTGAACTGAAACACGGTCAAGGCTGAGTGGAAACAGTCCTGTGGCCTCTCCAACAAGAACTGAAGAGGCAGAAGCAGTAGCTCAAGCACAGGGTGTAGACGGGCAGCTGTCTCAATGCCATGTCTATCAGACTGCACCGGCCACTTGGTGGCCAGGCATCAGTGCTGACTTAAACCAGACATGAGTGGCTGCACAGGAGGCCCATGGGCTCCCAGCAGGACCTGCATGTCACTTGAAGTACAGCAGATTCCTACAGGATGGGCAGGTGGGAGGGGAGGTGGGGGGCTCCAGAGCCACACGACAGGCTGGGACACTGTAGGGCTGAGGCTGCCCTGTGCTCCCAGCACACACGGAGGCCTGGGTCGGTGGCCAGCCCATGAGAGGGGCAGGGCCGGTTCCATGGGCCCGGGTGGCTCTGCATGTGCCCTGGGCACCAGGGCCCTGGACCGCATGCCTGGTGCTGCTCTGCCCGCCTCTGCCCAGGCAGGGCCGCAGCTGGAGAAACCGCCGGAGGAAGGCAGTCTGGGCGGGGACGAGGCCCCATCACCTCTGCCTCCACATCCTGAGCTCCAAGCTCAGCAGAGCCGGGGAAACAGACGAGCAGAACTGCTCTGCTGCCCGCCACCCGAGGGCTTTGAGCGGGTTGGGGCCGCCATCTCCCTGCCTCTAACGGAGGCTCCCAGTCGTGCCCACCGCATGTGCCTGGAGCAAGAGACGCTGACTCGGGTGAACTCCGACACGCTTTGCAAATGGAGGGAGCGAAGCTGGGAAACAGCCGCACCTGCCGAACCCCAGATCCGCTCCCCCGTGGCTGTGTTCCAGCGCGCAGCCTTGTCATCCGAGCTTCAGGATGCGTTTTCAATTCATATCAGAACATTTGATCCTCAGACACCATCCGTTTTCTAAGTTGATTCTCATGCAAGAAAGCATCGTGCACGTATCGCTGATCACGGAGATAAACCCCGACTTCAGAGCAGAGAGCCCCTGAGACAAGGAAACGGAGCCACACGCCTGGCGCCCAGGGTCCATCCCTCTCGCATCCCACCTGCTGGCCTTGGCACACAGTGTCTTGGCCTTGCAAGTGGGGCATGGAGGCTGCAGAAAGAAAAGCCATTTTGCCTGGTTTTATGTGTGCACACCACACACAGAGAAGGCCCGCGCTCCCTCACAGACGCCAGCGTCTCTGTGCGCCCGCAGGGCCGCAGGCAAGTCCCATCACCACCCGGAGTCCACCTGGTCCCAGGACAGGAGGCGGGGCCAGAGGCTGGCGCATCTCCACTTGGCCCCCTCTGCTACTCGTTAACCTGGAGGGGGCGCTGGCCCTGGGCCTGGCACCAGAACCATTCCAGGAAGTGTCAGGATGGCCTTGATGAGCTCCAATCCACTGTGGAACATTCTAGAAGACTGAAGCCACTGTCAACTGAGATTCACTGGGCCCTCAAAGAGCAAACCTCCGAAGAAGGCCACCTATGGAACTTCGGATCTGCTCTGACCCGTCCTTGCCCGTCAGCTCTCTCCCACTCTCCCCTCCTGGCCACAACCCCCAAAGGAAACATGGGGTTTGCACACTTGGGAATTTTGCAGAATTGGTGCTTATCAGAATTTTTAAAATCTCTCCTTAACTCCTCAGCCCTGAAGCATCAAAGTCATCACCATTCACGTCTGAGTGTGTGGGGAGCGTCTGTGTGGCTTGCTCTGGGAGGTGCTGGGGCGCCCAGGGAAGGTGCCAGCGCCAAGGAACCCCTCTCTCTCTCAAAGACATCTGTTCAGTCACACGGTAATCTCGCCCCAGATATGTCTGAAAGGTCACAAACACTGTCAACCTGCCAGCACCAGGAAATCCAGCAGGAAATCAGTTCTACCTGGCGAAGGAGCCACACTCAGCTCCGCGTGGGCGCGCCTTTGCAGGGAGCGCTCTGGAACCTCCACAGGACCCCCGCCGCCCCACCACCCTCCGCTCCAGAAGCAGAAATTCCGAGAGTTCTCCGAAGTTTCCCGAACAGGCCAACACGGACCCAGAGGAACGGCGGGCGCTGCCCCTGTCTCCAGGACAGGGATAGAAGGGGCCCTTTCCCCGCCGCTACCGGAGCAGCCTGGACGCCACAGGGCGTCCAGAAAGACACACATCCAAGCTGGGTCCGGCTACACCTCCACACTTACACATTTGTCATTGCACGGATGAAAACAAGGGATGCATTTGCCAGTCAAGATGCTCCTTAGGGAGGCTTATTTTGGCCACATTTGGCAACAAAATGCAACTGAGGTCGTGGGGACAGCCGTCAGAACCAGCGCCACACACGCGTTCCATGCAGACCCGGACCTCCTGGGGCGGCATCTCACCTGATTCTGTTCCGACACTGCATCGGTCACCGACCCCCGCTTGGTGCCCGGCCCCATCGAGTGCGTGTTAGGTAACCGCAGGTGCCAGCTCCCAGTGGGCTGTCCCCGTGGAATGGGTCAATCGGGTTAAATTTTTGCCCAGAGAACTACAAACTGTTTTGTTTTGTTTTTTTCCATTAAAAACATACAGCACGGGACATTAGTCTTACCTCTTTCTTAGTCTTAAAAAATAGAACTATAGAGGGATCAATTGTACAGGATGTACAGGTATGTACACCTTTCCTATGCACATGAGAAATCGGACCGAGTCTGTGAAACCTGCTCTTGGCGAACACTGTCCTCGGGGGGCTTCGGAGCAGGCTCTGAGCTTGCCGGCAGCTGCCCACGTTCCTGTCGCCTCATGCTCATCGACCGGGAAGGACCCAGTCCTCCGGACCACGGAGCAGAAGGGCGGTGGGCCGCTCACGGGTTCCTCTCCACCGGCTGCTGGAGGCACAGCTCGCTGCCGGCGGAGACAATGGGCAACTTGTTCTCCAGGTGGTGGTTGATGAGGTGGCTGATGCTGTCAAAGATCCTGTCCCGCGTCCGGACCTGTGAAGGGCAGGGAGGGAAGTGAGCATCACCCACAGGCAGCAGTGCAAGAACACGCCTGCTCGGTGTCAGCCAGACCGTCTGAACTGGAGGGTCACTTCCTGGGAGCCTGGGGGCTCCCCACGCTCTCAGAGATGGTTGTCTGCAAAGTCCCTGGTCACTGTTGCTGGACGGTCAATTCAGTCTGCTCATCTGCCCAGCCCTCTGGGACCGAGCCATGGGCTGTCCCCTACCTTCAGCAACCAGGTGAGCTCCCTGCCCCCTGCCAGCTTCTCTCCCTGCTCCCCTTCTGCCCTCATAGTCTCCATCACAGGATCCTCTGTCTGGCTGTCCTGTACCTCTTGCTGAGGTCTGCAGCCTCCCACTCACAGGCCTTGCATGGCAGTCCCTGGGGCCACCCCCACACTGAGCTGGCCGACTCTGCGCGAAGACCACACTTGAAGAAGTCAGACTGAGCCTGGGCAAGTGCAATCTCCCAACAGGCTCTCCACACAGCCCTCTGGGGCCTGCTTCTCTGAGGGGGAACGGAGCAGGTGCCTGGCTACACCACTCACCCTCCGGGCCCTTAGGTGACCCTCACGTGGGTCTGGGAAGCCTACATGTCCCAACCTATCTCTCCACCTTATTTCTGGGAGCCCATCCTTCCTTTATGGCAACCGGCTGTCTCTCTCCCCTCCCACAGGGACTCCAAGGGCATGTCTGTTCCTCCTACTGACCTACTTGTCCTGATAGTCTCCTTTCCCCAGGTTCTCAGTCTCACCCCCTTCCTTCCCCTCCATCACCCCACCAATGGACATCGTTCTCTGGCTGTTCTGCCCAGATCTTGCTTCCACCCCAAATCTGTGCTCCAGGTGTGCAGGCCACCTGTCCGGGTTCTACCAATCAGCGGCCAAAGGCAAGAGCAGACACTATGAAATCAGGATGTTTCCCTCTCCTGGGATCCAATTCCGAGGCAGGACCCCTCTCCCCACCCATCTCTGTAAGCACCCAAGGGGAAGAGACCCCCAGGCCACAGGGTCCCCTGACTCTTGAGCATTAAGCCTCAGTAGAGATGCAGTCTCATGAGTACATTCAGAAAGGAAGCTTTTTGTAGGACCTTCTGGCATCTTTCCATTGAGGTTGTTTAGTCCTCCTGGAGCTCCTTAGACTCCTGGCCCAGAAGGACCCCCTGCGTGACTCGGGCAGGCCCCCTCCTTAGAAGCCGGGGCCACCCAGGAGCTCAGCTTGAGCCTAGTATCGCCAGCATGGTGCCTTGACATTGACTTCCTAGTCCCACTTCTTAACGACTGGCATTCAGGTAAGTCTGGGCCATAGGGTAGATGAGAGGACTATGGCAGCGTCTGGGACAGCGGTCTCAACCTGGGCTCATGTCAAAATCAGCTGAGGAGCTTTGCTAATCCCACACCCGACCAGCTCCGTCGGGAACCGGAGGCGGAGCCCAGCACTGCTGTGTCCTTTGCTACATCCACGATTCCAACTTGATACCCAGACTGAGGACCCCTGTCAGTGTTCCTGGAGCATGTGGACCGGCGGACATGAACACACATGTAAATAAAGGCACACAAAGAGGTTGGTCATAAATTTACCGCCTCAAGAAATAGACCAGCTCACTTCATTCCTACAAACACTCACTGAAACCCGGCTCAGGCTCCTGCCCAGAGACTTTGCAGCCCGCAGAGTGCTCGTGTGGACCCAACTACCACCTGCCCGAAGTGCATGGCTGATTAAAAACACTCAACAGCATCACCCTGGCCAGTGGTCCCAGTGGTTAGAGCATTAGCCAACACCCCAAGGGTCACGGGTTCAATTCCCAGTCAAGGGTATATATCTGGGTTGCAGGGTCAATCCCAGCCTGAAAGACAAAAATCTGCCAAATTCTGAGAATAGGAAATTGACAATATGAATAAGACTATACCTATTAAAGAAATTGAATCAATAATTAATAATTTTCAAACATAGAAAACACCAGAACAAATGGGTCCACTGGTAAATTCTACTAAACATTTAAAAAGGAAGTTGTACCAAGTCTCTACAATCCCATTTAGAAGACAGAAGCAGAAGGAATCCTCACTCTGTGAGGCCAATGTTACCCTAATTTCAAAAGCAGATGTAGACATTACCAAAAAACAATTGGCCGGTATCTCTTATGAACATAGGTGCAAAAATCCTCAACAAAATATAAGCAAATTGAATCCAACAATGTATAGAAAGAATTACCCACCACGACCAAATGAAATTTATTCTGAATATGCAAGCAAGGCTGGTTTAACATTTGAAAATCAGTCAATCTAGTCCATCAAATCAATAAGCTAAAGACAAAAAAAAAAAAAAATCTCATGATCATATCAATATAAAAAAATCAGTTGATAAAGTTCAATAATAATTCTTAATAAAAACTGTCAGTAAACTACGAATAGAGGTTAACTTCCTCCACTTGATAAAGAATATCTATAAAAATTCTACCATTAACATCCTACTTGATGAGAAACTTGAAGCTTCCCACCAAAATCAGAAACAAGGTAAGGATGTTCCATCTCACTACTTGTTTACAACATCATAGTGGAAATCCTAGCTAATGCAATAAGATAAAAAAGAAAGAAAAAAAAAGAAATAAGAGGTATGCTGATTGGGAAAAAATTAAAATAAAACTGTCTTTGTTCATAGATGATAGGATTGTCTATAAACAAAATCCAAAAGAATTGGCAAAAAAACTTCCTAGAACTTATAATAAGCAATTGTAGTGAAGTTGCAGGATACAAGGTTAATATACAAAAGTTGATTGCTTTCCTATATACAAGCAATGAATGAGTTGAATTTAAAATTAAAAACATAATACATTTATATGAAATTCATAGATCTAAATCTAATTAAATGTATGCACAATTATACAAGTAAAAATATGAAACTCTGATGAAAAAATATCTACAAATAAGTAAGTGGAGAGATATTCCATGTTCTTGGATAGAAAGACTCAATACTGTCAAGATGTCAGTTCTTCTAAACTTAATATATAGATTCAATATAATCCCAATCAAAATCACGACAAGTTATTTTATATATATTGACAAAATGATTCTGAATTTTATATGGAAAGGTAAAGACCCAAAATAGCCAATTCAATGTTGAAGAACAAAGTTGGAAGACAGACACTACCTGCCTTCAAGACTTAATAAAGCCACAGTAATCAAGACAGTGTGGTATTGGCAAGAGAAGAGATAAATAGATGAATGGAAGAAAATAGATCCCCATAAATATAGTCAATTGATCTTTGATGAAGGGGTAAAGACAACACAATGAAGCAAAGATGATCTGTTCTTGGTGCTAAAACAACTGGACATAACTAACATGCAATAATAATAATACTCTAGATACTGACCTGACACCTTTCACAAAAATTAACTCAAAATGGATGATAGACCTAAATATAAAACACAAAACTATAAAATTCTTACAAGATAAAATAGGATAAAACTAGATGACTAAGGGTTTGGAGATGATTTTTTAGATATGACATCAAGAACACAATTCATAAAAGAAATAGGCTGGACTTCATTAAAATGAAAAACTTCTGCCCTGCAGGACACCATCGAGAGAAGAAAAGACAAGCCACAGATGGGAGAAGATATGCAAAAGCCACCTCTGATAAAGAACTGTTATCCAACATATACAAAGAACTCTTAAAACCAACCACAACAAAAAAAAACAGTTTTAAAGGTGGACCAAAAACTTTGACAGACAACTCGGCAAAGAAGATACATGGATGGCGAATACACACATGAAAAAATACTGCATATCATCTGTCGCCAGGGAAATGTAAGTTAAAACAGACACCACGACACGCCTGTTAGAATGGCCAAACTCCAGGACACGGACAACAACAAATGCCAGAGAGGACACAGAGCAATAAAATCTCTCCCCTTCTTTGCTGGTGGGAATGCAAAATGGCACAGACACCTTGAAAGATAGTTTGACGTTTCATTTTTTTTTTTTTTTCAAAACTAAACATATAGTCTTATCATATATGTAGCAATTGCTCTCCTTGGTATTTACCCAAAGGAGTTGAAAATGTATATCCACATAGAAACCTGTACACAAATGTTTATAGCAACTTGAGTCAGAATTGCCAAAATTTGGAAGTATCCAAGGAATCCTTCAGTAGATGAATAGTAAATAGACTGTGGTACATCCAAACAATGGAATAGTATTCAGTGCCACAAAAGAAGAGCTCTGAAGCCATGGAAGGGAGGGAGGAACCTTCAATGCACATTACTAAGTGAAAGAAGCCAGTCTGAGAAGTCTACGTACTGTATGACTGCAACCGTATCCCTGGGCAAGGGAGAACTATGGAGACAGTGAAAGACCAGTGGTTTTGAGGGTGAAGGAAATGAACAGGCAGAGCAGAGAGGATGTGTTTATGGCAGTGAAACTGTTTGTGCAATAGCATACATGGTATTATACCCTTGTCCAAACCTACAGAATGTGCAACACCGCAAGTGAGCCCTGATGTGAGCTGTGGACTCTGGGTGATGATGACCTGTCGGAGCAGCTTCATTGAGCGAAGCAAGGGGCCCTCTGGTGGGCTGTTGATAGTGGAGGCACGAGTGTGTGCATGAGGGATGGGGGCAGGGAGGATCTCTGTACCTTTCTCAGAATTTTACTGTGAACATAAAACTTCCCTAAAAAATAGTCCTTTTTTTTTTTTCTTTAAAGAGTAGACAAAATATTCAAGTTGATAGTGTTGGGTGGGACAAGGCCTTCAGGGGAGCAGCTGGGGAGACAGGATAAACATTCATGAAGGAGAGAAGGCAGCATTTTTGAACAAGGCCACCGTTCAGTTCCCAAAACTGTTCGCCGTAAGGACTTTCTATTTTGGTTGATTTTGTAAACCACTATTCCTAAATGTGTGTTACCTCTTTAAGGCAGAGATCCCCGGGCCCTACAGCAGCCTAATGAAAGTGGACCTCTCCCCGCAAGAACAGAAACGCACGCTCAGTTTGCTG